CTCATGACCAACATAGTCACAGTGTTATAGGAACACAGATGATGGTTATGATTAGAATTGGTTGAAGGGACATATTTTAGACTATCTGGAATTTGAAAGAGCTGTACACTTTGAGTAGAAGCTGGATGAAGAGGGAAACAAACAAACAAACACAGAAGGAAATAATTGTAGTATGTGTTGTAGAACCCAGGATACACCTAAAAAGTTATAGAAAACCTTCCCCTCAAAGGATGAGGGCATGAGGGCACACAGGAAGAGGTATACTGGTTGTAGACATCTTTGCATAATCCAAACACTGCAAAATATTAAATACATGATTGCTGAAGGTTTTCTGAAGAACATTCATGAGTCTTTAGAAATTCAATGATAAGATGTAACTGAAGGTACTTTAGTAAGAACAATCATTTAGAGACAGGAACTGAGATGGTAAATAAACAAAGATAACAATAAATGATTAAAGTCAAACTCAGGCTCCCAGGAGGCCAATTAAGGAAAAGTAGAAAGTTAAAATGTCCATAAATGAGAACAAGTGAAGGAAACAGGATTCTTGTTACTTTTCATTCATGCAGTCTAGGAGAATAAGACAACAGGCAGAATATTTAGTGAACATGAATAAGTTAGTCACAGGGGAGCTATAGGAATTTTGAGAGCACACTAGGGAGATGTGAGATGGGACTTAATGAAGGCCAGACAGGCATTATGGATTCCTCAAATCCTGGGCGTGTATCATAGACCTGGGTTTGAATTCCATTATTACAACCACCACCCTCAAAAATATCTGGGTGATATGACTTTTCTGAAAGGCTACACAATCTCCAGGCAAGTCAATCTGGAAAACAGGAAGATATTAGCAGAAAAAGAGATGTAGCAATAACTGTTGTTTTGAGATGAGCAACCTCTATAGAGTAGCTGTTATTACAGATAACCACTAATGTTCCAGAGTCTTCACCCAGTATGGTTTATTTCTTCCTACCACAGCCCAGTACATTAGTTTGGGAAAGGGCATTATCTGTTGTGCTCAATCATTCAGGAACTCTGGTCCCCTTCCATCTAATGATGCTTCCTCCATCCAGGAGATCTTAGGAATTCTATCATGGATCCTTCATGGATAGGGTCACATTAACCATTCAGAAGATCATTCTGAGAGTGAATAGTTTAGTCTACATTATTCACAATGCATTCTGGGTCTTGGCTTTTAGCAAGGCACCCTAAAGAAAGCAATGGGTTTTGTGAAACTGCAGTGCAACCTCTGTTCCCAAGTGGCTACAAAGTATTCTTCAATACAAATCAAAGGAAGAATGCCAACCACAAATCAGAGTAAGCATTCTAACTGCCTAAGGAAGCCAAGGACAGGAAACGAAACAGTTTATTATACATGCTAAAAGTAGGGCAGATAATTAAAAACAAAGCATTGCTTAGCAAACAATGATAGAAATCAAGTGTTGAGGGAAAACACACACAGCTGAGTCGTTTCCTTCAGCGTCAGCTCAAGGGATGACAGCCTAATCTAAGGACCCAAAACCCAAGGACCCAAGGACTTAGTCAGTAAAATCTGAAGAAAAGGCTCTCTTCTGGTGATGAAAGAAGGAAAATGACACCAATCAAAAAAGTGACATAGAGATAGACAACTCTTAAATCTCTCAAGATTTTCCCATTCCTGTTACTCATACCTGAAATGTTCAAGCCTTTAGAAGCAATCCCATGCTCTGGGTAGGGACTGCCTTGGACACCTAGCTGTAGCTGTTACCATAACTGAGGCATAGGTTTCTCTCACTATCTCTGTCACTAATAATAAATAGGACTGATGAAGGATCCATGTGCCAAGTACTGGTACTATGTTCAGATTTACAGATATGTAGCAGCCCCATGAGACAAATACTCTTATTACCTATTTTTTTTTTTTCAGATGAGAAACTGACAACCAGGGTAAACTTCTAAGTGTTGAAGCACACAGTTCAAACTTAGTTGCCTTCCAGTTGAGCTTTTAACTTCTAATGTTGATGCCTCTGCAATTCTTCTCTGTATAAACAGGGGATGTGGGGGAAAAACACTTAAACAATTTACAAAGAATATCTTCTAATAAATGTGAGCATTTCCAAATACTGGATACTGGATTCTTTCTATTTCTTCTCTTTGTAATTGCCAAAGTTTATGTAGAACAGACACATAGACCCCACTTTACTCTTAGCTCCCTTCTTCCTCAAATTTCATTATATTTCAGAGAGTCCTTTGGTATTTATCCTCCCTTGCTATTAAGGCAATCAGCTTTTTTTATCCTGGCAGGGGAGAGGGGATCTGAGAGAGAATCAAAATATACATAGTGGCATTTAAACTTTATGGAATGTATATTCATGTAATAATAGTATTTTACATGAAATATCCTTGGGAGCATTAGGATACTAAGAAACAAAGAGTAGCAGGCTCACTCTGCACTCTGGCATGGCATGACACACAACAGGTAGGACTGAATGGCCTATAGGCTCTACAGGTGTGAAACACTGACTTCAGCCATTATATCAGCTCAGACATCATCTCCTCAACATCCCAAAGTTCAATTGATAAGAAAAATAGCACTTTTTAAATTCAGAAATTACTTGTTAAACTCTCTTGACTTCCTAGCCAATAAATGAGTTGTTTATTATGTATGGCAAATATTAAAAGGGCTATTGAAACCTGCAGTCAGTACACTCAAGGAGGACAGCTTGTTAGAAACAACTTATTTGTGGACTGCTTTAGTTACTATTCTATTGCTGTGAAGAGACGCAATGACCAAAGAAATTTATAAAACAAAAGCATTTATTTGGGGGCCTACAGTTTCAGAGGGCTAGAGTCACACTGATGGTGTGAACATGGCAAAAGGAAGGATGCATAGTGCTGGGTCATTAGCTTAGAGTTTACATCATTATCCACAAGTGCAAGGCAAAAAGAGAGACAGGAGACATTCAGAGTGAGGGTGAGGAGAGAGAGGAGAGAGACAGAGAGAGGGGGGAAGAGAGAGAGACAGAGAGAGGGGGTAAGAGAGAGAGAGGGGGGAGAGAGAGAGAGAGAGAGAGAGAGAGAGAGAGAGAGAGAGAGAGAGAGAGAGAGAAATGGGAATGGCCTGGGCTTCTGAAACCTCAAAACCCACCCACAATGATACATCTCTTCTAACATGGCCACACCTCCTCCTAATCCTTCTCAAACAGTTCCATAAATAGTGACAAAGTATACAAACATATGAGCCTATGGGGGCCATTTCCATTCAAACCACTACTTGGTCAATGACCAATTTTCTGAAACGATTTAAGCAAAAACAACTATATAGACAACTGATATAAAATCATCTTTTTCATCAATACTTATTTAGGCCTAAATCACTGCACTTGTGGGCAATGAAGGTAGACAGGAGCAGTCATAAAAACAGAGCATGAATTGGAGGCTCTGCACATGGAAACGGTTTGGGCAGACAGTCTAGCAGAGGAAGGTAGACAACTCGCACCATTCTCTTATGAACTCGGGCCAACCGACTAGCTTCTTCGAAACACTTGCTTCTCTTGCTTTTTTTCATACTGCGACACAAGATTTAGTCCACCCATGAGCACTACAGGTTGTTTAAAAACGAACTAGACTTCCATAAACCTTGACTAGATTGTTGGTGCTGGGATTTTTTGGGATTTTTTTTCCTTATTTGTTACAAATCAGATATTAGTGAAGGTCGTATATAGGTCTGGGGATTAAATTGTCCACTTAAACCTCTTGGCACAGGCAAGGTGGCCACAGTTGTCGGTTTTCCTTTTGGTTACTGCTGATGAAGCCCCCTACATCAGCCATTGGGAGGAAGGTCAAGAACTCAGCTGTGTGGTCTGCAAGCTCCTAAAGTACACATTTGGTTCTGAAGGTAAGACCAAGCGGGTTTGTAATGAAATGAAAAGTGCTGAGTTTGCACTAGCAGCCCAAACAGCAAAGGGGGAGGGGGTCGGAGGGGACAGCATAAAAAATATCTCAGAAGCCTGGACCTCAGTGTAAAGTAGCATTAAGACAAGGAAGCAGAAAGTCTAAGGATTCTTCCAAAACTTAGGGCAGGGCAGTAAAGTTTGGAAATGGTGGGTCTAGAATTTTCTTTTGTGAAAGTCATCTTCTATCATCCAGTGTCCTTAGAATGTTTATTCACTGGATTTCTATCCTCAAGGACTAACGGGGACACACACACACACACACACACACACACACACACACACACAGAGCGAACACACAATTCCTCGGTTCTGGAATTGTGAAGCAGTTTCCTGTACTGGTATCAACTAGCGTTTGAGAGTCAATCTTTTCATGGCAAATGGGAGATTGAAGTCACTGGCGCATTCAGGGAAGGGGGCAGCTAAGACTCAGACATTCGGGTAGACTTTGACACCCACAAGGCTCTCCTTTTAAATCCAGACGCCGGCGCTGTGTCAGCACTTTCACTTGGCTCAGAGGACAGGCGCTGAGTGCCATCCTGCAATTTCTAAGGCGTCTGTGACTGACAGGAAAGGAAGCGACTCCGCGACAGCCAGGAGCCAAACAAGACTCAGAAGTTCCATCAAAGCCCCAAGTGCTAGCCTCAAAGACGCAGTTCCCCTTTCCTAGCCATTCACAGTGCCTGAACCACGCAGCATAGATTTCTTTTTTCCTCCTCCACCCCCAAATTCAGCTTTCCTTCTGGAATCTGTCCTCATGGAATACAGAACGCGAACGAGGGCGGACTGTGTTCTCAGTTGCCAGGGACTCGGTTGCAAAGGAGCAGCTGGGTGCACTAGCCACGCCTCTGGTGCGCTCCCCCACGGCGTTCACACCTACGCTCCAAAGGCTCTGAGGCTGGGGGAAATGCTGGGGGCTGGGCAGGGCAGAGCGCAAAGGGATCCCGCCCCTGATCCCACCTCCAGCAGAGATTGGCAGGGCTCGGGCACCTGTCCCAGCCAATGGGAGCGTTCCGGGGCGGGCCTGGAAAACGGCTGCTCAGGCGATTTAAGAGTCGTCCGCGCGGCTGTGGAAAGCCGAGTGGAGCCAGGACTTGCCAGGTGGAGCAGACGCCCAAGCCAGCGTAGACACGGAGCGCACCCGCACCGCTCTGGGCACCTCACCGCACTGCTTGCCTCCGGTTAGATCTGAACCGCAGTCCGACCCGCCGCCAGGACCCACTCGCCACTGCCTCCTCCACAGCACCCATGGGGAACTGGAGACTTTAAAAGGAGTTTGGGGTTTCGGGAGCAGGGAAATCACGGGTACGGATAATTCGCTTCCTTTGCCTTAAAAAATGGTATTTCTTCGTCCGATTGTGTGGATAGTGTGCTGGGTAGGAGAGAGACGGGCTCTTTGGGTTGAAAGTAGACCTCTTCTCACACACACACACACACACACACACACACACACACACACACACACACAAATACTCACCACTGGTTTCGCCTTGCTACCCTGTCTCTTTGTTAGGTTATTTTAGACAGAGCAGCCTCGCCCTGGCGCAGTCCGATTGGCTCTGCTAACGAGAAGGCAAGCAAGGAGAGGGCAGAGTGTACCTGCCTGCGTGGGCAGGTGTACCCCGGTGCTTGAGTGTACGTGCGTGCATTTAGCAAGTGTGAAGGCGTACGTCCGGAATTGTGTAGGGAATTGGAGGAGGGAGGGTGCCAATGTGTGGTCGTCGAGATGTGTCATTGTGGGTGTTTGACATTAACATTGTGAGTGCATGTACCAGGCTGTCAGGGTCTGGACTCCAAGTGTGCAAAATGTTTGCTAATGTCCAGTGAATGCATCTAGCGAGTCTTTCATTGTGCAAGCCGCTTTCAGGGATGGGGTGTGACCCAGTGCAAAATGGGCAGGTGGGCTGCACAGGATGGCGACCACAACGTGAGCTCAGCTTGCTCTAGCTTCGGGCCTTAGGGTTTCTCTTTACACCCAACCTTCCGTCTGGGTGTCCATCTCCTGGAACCCAGCCACAACCTGCGCTCACTTTGCCCACTTGAACCTTGCATGTTGTCTAGCTCGCCTGTGCTTTCTCCAGTGGAAGTTACAGGGCAGGGTTCCCGGGCAGTGTCGGAGGCTGGCTGAGCGGTATGATGTCTGCTCTGGCCCTCCAGACTGGCGGCTTCTTCTGTGTCCCCTTTCCTACCCCGGGGAGGACCTGCAAAGTTGACAGGCGCAGGCGACTTTGGTGTCGGTGCCTAGGAAGCTTCAGGCCTCGGGGGAACTGGACGCCTTGGGGAGGGGACACCAGGAGGGTCAGCCCCGACTCTGATGGTGTCTGTCCTCTCTCCCTCGGTAGATCTCAGTTCCTGGCCCTGGCCTCGCCGCGTCATTGATGGGCAACCAACTGGACCGCATCACCCACCTCAACTACAGCGAGTTGCCCACTGGGGACCCATCTGGGATTGAGAAGGACGAGCTGCGGGTCGGGGTTGCCTACTTCTTCTCGGATGAGGAGGAGGACCTGGACGAACGCGGGCAGCCGGACAAGTTTGGTGTGAAGGGCCCCCCAGGTTGCAGCCCCTGCCCAGAGAGCCCAAGCCGCCACCACCACCACCTGCTGCATCAGCTCGTCCTTAACGAGACTCAGTTCTCCGCCTTCCGGGGCCAGGAATGCATCTTTTCCAAAGTAACCGGCGGCCCTCAGGGCGCCGACTTGAGTGTCTACGCGGTCACCGCGCTGCCCGCGATCTGCGAGCCGGGCGACCTGCTGGAGCTGCTGTGGTTACAGCCGGCGACCGAGCAGCCTGCGCCCGCCCCGCACTGGGCGGTCTACGTGGGCGGCGGGCAGATCATCCACCTGCATCAAGGAGAGATCCGCCAGGACAGCCTGTACCAGGCGGGCGCGGCCAACGTGGGCCGGGTGGTGAATAGCTGGTACCGCTACCGCCCGCTGGTGGCCGAGCTGGTGGTGCAGAACGCCTGCGGCCACCTGGGCCTCAAGAGCGAGGAGATCTGCTGGACGAACTCCGAGAGCTTCGCCGCCTGGTGCCGCTTTGGAAAGCGCGAGTTCAAGGCTGGGGGAGAGGTCCCCGCAGGCACGCCACCTCCGCAGCAGCAGTATTATCTCAAGGTGCATCTGGAGGAGAACAAAGTCCACACGGCCCGCTTCCATAGCCTGGAGGACCTCATCCGCGAGAAGCGCCGCATAGACGCCAGTGGCCGTCTGCGAGTGCTGCAGGAGCTTGAGGATTTCGTGGACGACAAGGAGTAGCCCCAGAGCAGCAGCCCTCCGCTCCTGTTCTCACGCCCGGAGATCCTTTCCTGTCCCCTCAGTTCTGCACCCCTAAGGCCCCTAGAGCCCGCCCAGAGCCAGAGGCTGGAAACTTCAGGAACTCTCATCCTCACTGGGCGGGCGCAGCTATGCGCCACTAAGAGATCCCGGTTGTTAGTGACGGTGCCGGGGTTACCCAGCCGGCGCCTTTCCCCTGGGTTGTGACGGGGAAACGGGGAGTGGACTAAGGGGAGCAAGGACACGATCTTTCCCGCGAGCCAGCCAATGGTCAGTGACTCTTCACCAGACAGGGCAAATACCCGTTAGTCACAAAGGACCATCACCACCACCCCCCAGATGCACACACACAGACCAGTCGGAGGCTAGAATTGTTCTTTTCAGGGCACAGTTCAACTCCCGAGAGAATGTGTCCTCGGATCTCCGAATTCCCATGAAATCCAGCCTATCCTATGTACTTGGGAGCACTTGGGGACTCCAGGTTATTCTGGGGCTGCCAGAAACTGTCTTGCAGCTCTCCAGCCCAGGGTCTCCTGACAAAACATTCCAGGCTCCAGGCTGAGCTAGTGGTTTGGCTTCCCTAATTTGCACAGCTGGAAGCTGACGCCATCCTGGGACTGACCAACCCTTGGCAGAAGGGAAGCCTTCTGGGTCCCCGGAGGAAAAAGGCGCAGCATCTCTTAGAGTGAGAAGGGCCCGCCAGCTCCGGAAAAGGAGCTAATTCACCTGGTAGGTGGGCACTCGAATGTAGGAAGGAGGAGGCTTTTTGCTCAGAACCCCTTGATTACTTCTCTCCTTGCTCTGAGTTTCAGAGAGTCCTGTTTTTCAAGGGACGGGAGGAGAACTCAGAGAGGATCTATAACATTCCAGAAACCAGCCTTCGGAGAGCCTAGCCAGTGTCTTTAGTTTGGCTTTTCCTAACCAGAAGATCTTAGAAGGCAGTGGGGGGAGGTGGAGGTTGTTTTTAAAACACAACAGTTTTCCAACGATATCAACAAAGCCTACAGTGTCGATGCTTCTCTTGATCATATTTAGCAACATGCTAATGAAATTTCAAATTGAAATTTTTATTTTCATGGCTTTAATCCATGATAGCTTAAATACCGGGGGCCATTAGGAGTGGAATTTAGCTAAGAGTTTAGCTGACATTGCCTTCACTCTGGTTTCTCTCAACTCTTATGAGAATTCTGTTTGGGGATATTATACTTATTTACTTTTTTCCCCTGGCTTTACAAAGTAACCCTGTGATGGCAGAGCTGTTCATTAATGTGTATATTGTGCTGAATTTTTGTCAGTTCAAAGGTCTGCTGCTTTGGTGAAAATCGCTAGCAAGTTCCAAGAGGGTTCTTTTCTCCATGTTGTATATCACCGTCATTTCATCTTTGCATCTCTCTCCTCACCTCTTGATCCCCTTCAAAAGGAATCTAGAGTTGGTGGGCTTTGGTGCCCAATTCTGTAGCCTGTCCTGTCCTTTGAACAGAGAAGCACTCTGAGAACTAGGACAGAATGTGTGTGTGTGTGTGTGTGTGTGTGTGTGTGTGTGTGTGTGTGTGTTTGAAAATATGGTTATGCGAAGCTCCTTCCTTTTGGCAAAAGTTTGTGGATTTTCTCCAAAGGATACAGCCGCAGCCTAACTGGTTGTTACTTGATTCTATGAGCTACACACACCTGAGAAATTTAACGTATACAATCTCTCAAGGTAGTTTGTCAAATAATGGTGTTTAGCTAATGGTTGTGAGCAACTGCATAGTGTGACAGCTCTGTAATTAGTTGAACAACAAATACTATGTCTAAAGCCAGTTTCTTGGTATTTGAATATAATGCAATAAAAACTAGTGGAAGTTAGCTGACAGGGAAATGCCTTTTCCATGGTAAATGATTTGTTTCTGTTTTGTGGGGATTTCTGTTGTTTTATTTTGTTTCGTTTTGTTTTCATGCTGGGTTCATTCCCTGATCTTGAGTCAAAAGGTCAAATCAATGAAATATGAACTAAAGTATTTTTCTGAAGCCAACTGAGTGATTTATTTTTTAAAACTGTTTATGGTTTTTCTTTCAGCGCATACAACGGCAAAACTTTCGTAACAACTAAACTTAACCTTTGCATGTATGGAGAACTGAAAGTCACTTATTTCTCTAACTTAGTCTTTTGGCAAATGACAGATGGATGACCATAAACCAAAATCCTTTATTGTGTCTACACATGCCATATCCTCTCCTGTGTCCTACTACTGTATCTTGGCTCCCTGCTGAATTAAACGCCATCCTAAGCACTTGTTCCAATGGGACTCCTTCTTGACATTGTGTCTTCCACCTGTCAGTGAGTGGGCAAAAGAGATGCATCAGTCTATTATCAGACCCCAAACTGAATTATTCCTTTGTGATGAAATCTATGTGCCATGCCAAGAGGGAACACTGTTTCATAAGCTTGGTGCTTGCTGAAACTTGGAGGGAAAGAAAACAAAAGCAGGACAGGAAAAATAGGGTTTATTATTAGACTGATCTACCAAGGACTTGGTGGGTGGTAATAGTTTCACAAAGTCTCAGTAACAAAATACTCATCAAAGAAGGAATTTGCAAAGGGGTTTGAAGGTTTCTTGTGTTCCTATGTAAAGGATTGCTATCTCATGGTCATTGTTAGCACAAACCTAGTAAGAGTACCAAGTGGAAAGGATATTATTTAATTGTGTCATCCCAAAAAGGGGTTTCTGTTTGAAAGCATTATTAAGGATGTTGCTTGAGCCATGAAAGTTGAAGATCCTTTTGTAGATGTCACTTGAATTTTGTTATGGGTGAATAGTGTTTCTCTATGTTGTATTAGTCAAAGGAATTAAGCCATGAGTCTGTCTCCTAACGTTTGAGAAAGGACAATAAAGAAGCTTTAGTTTGTGTTGTCCTCTAGGGAGCTCTGAGGTAACTCCCAGTGTGTGGAGGGGATGAAACTGTGTTCTGTCCAACTGTCACCAAGGCAGAGGGCACCTCTGTTTTGTCTTCCTTGCTAAGGGGGCATATCTCCAAAGCAAACCATATTGGGAAAAGAAGAGAAATTTAAAATGCAAATGTTCCTAAGGAAGCTTTACTGTATTAAACAAACAAACAAAAGAACAAATGGGCAAGGTGGGCTGGGCATACTTTTGAAAACTAAAGCCCACAAATTCTATTACTCTTAAAGTGTATTCTTTCCTTCCAAAAAGAAATCCTGTGGAAGTAGTATATGCTACATTAAAAAGAAAAAAGTCTGCTGCATCAACAAGCTAAATTGGTAGGTATAAAATGTTCTTCAATATTAACATTTAATGGCCTTTATGTCTGAATTTTAGCAAAAGAATTACACATATTAACCTGTATTTAGAAAATATAAATTTGCCAGGCACAGAAGCAAGTTTTAAGTTCATTGATGTTACATGATATTTTTTAATTCATGTTTTCCCCCTTTTGCATGAATAATGACATTTTCAGAAAAGTATTTTATTGATATTTACAAAATAATGAATTTCCTGGGACTCAGTTTACCCTGGTGCTCTTCCAGCATCCCCTAGTGATTGCTTCCCTTTTGCTTTCAGCATCCCTAAGAATTGAAAGGGCAAGTCACTTAATACATAGGGTAAAATCAAAATGATGTAAATTTGTAAAAGACACAGTAATAAAAGAGGGCACCTCATTTTCTCTTCTCCACATGCCTGTCCTCAAAGCTCCCTGCTCATTTTGTTTGTTTTGTTTTTGCCATTAGTGCTGACCTTGAACCTGAACCTACGTATGGCCCATCATGCCTTTTCTGGCAACAAATGAAGAGAATGTTTTGGTTTGCTTTTGAGAGATGATTTGCTGCATGTACAAAAGGCTACAAAGGAAAAACACGGACTTCCAGGCTCCTTGACACATAAAGAGCTTCAAGTAGGAGAGTATTTCAATTACTACCCTGTCAGTTCATTTCTATTGGAAAGTTTTAGCTATTAGAATACACATATACACTTGTTCATAATAATGTCCATGTGCATTTCCACATATAAATTTCTGCCAAGAGCTAGACATTTTGTCATACCCACAAACACACATCAGTTGCAGGGGACACACACAAACCCATAGGTTTTTTTAAAATGCCAGAATGGAAAGTGACCTAAGATTTATAAATACAAAAGGCAGAATATCCAGGGGTCAAGGGTTAACATAGCTCATGGGTAGTTAAGCAGCAAAGAGCTGTGGCTAAAACCAAGTACAAATGAATGTGTGACTTATGCAGTCAGCTTTTAGTTGTCCCACCCCTCCCCCATCCATCCCCAAACCCAATGCTTCCTGCTGCTAATTATTTTTAAATTTTGGCTTGTTTTTTGAAACACTATGTAACCTTGGCTGGCCTGGAACTTTTCAGTGTAGATCAGGCTAATGGTTTCAACCTCAAAATGGCCCTCTTGCTCACACCTCTCGAATGTTGCAAGTATGGGCAGGCACACCACTACATCCAACCTAGTTTCACTTTCTGAAGTAGAAAAAAAATCAAAAGCAAGATTCAAAGGAAGCTGAAAAGATGGGGAGATCACTAAAAAAAAATACTAAGGATGGGAATGAACTGTGATGGTTATAAATTTTAATGAGCTAATAACCTTTACAACAGGTAATAACTGCTCTCCATTCTAACAGAAGACTATAGAGAAAACCTAACACCCCAATTTCCAACCTTTTAATATCTAGGAGGGTATCTGACTGCATAACTCAGACTTTACCTTTGAGGCTGTATGTTACTTCACTGGGTGCCTCACTATAAGTATTTTCAAGTGTTTGCATATGTTGGGGGTGAGGAATGGTCTTTTCTGCCCTTGTTATGAGGGTGAGTTAAGATCCATGATTTGGGTGACAGAACACCCATGGGAGCAGCCCCCAAGCTGCAGGCATTTACCAGTTTCACTGGTGGATGATGGCATGTGGCACATAGTAGGTACAGCAGGTGTCTGGATTGGATGGTTTTCGGTAACTCTTGATCATTCAGAAACTCAGAGCATAGCATTTGCCTTCAGTATGAAGGTGGCATAAAACTTCCACAGCTAACATTGACAAAGATGCCTCAGAGAGATCATGGAACAACTTCTCAGGAGGCTTGGGCCTGAAGGCTTTGTGTTCAAGGGTGTCTGGGATATTCAGTTTTGCCTCTACAAAAACCTATGGATCCAAGAAAAGTAAGTTCTCTTGTCTTTTGGCCAGAAAGATGAAAGCAAACTAATAATTCTGACTCTGTCTTCTCCCAGACCCATCTCTCTCACTTTAAGGAACATTTTTTTTTCCTAGCACATAATCACAAAACTATCCCTTCAGAGGAAGGTTGTTATTGTAGCTCTTGTGATAATCATAAGAAATAAAAATGCTTATCTGTAGACAGAGATGCGAGTACAGACATATCTCGCTGGGATAACTAGATACCATTTGTTTTTATTTTTTTAATTATTAAACATTACTCATTGATAGATACTGAAATAATTGCTATGCATGTTGGCATTTATAATCCAACTCTTTCTGTATGTGAATGTAAGTCCCAAACTTAGTTTTATCTAAGCAGGGGGCACTTATGAAATACTAGGTACAAATAGGGCCAATATCTTAATTTCTAGTTCAAAATAAGTGCTTCATTGTAAGCCAGGCACATACCTATTATCCAAAGCTCTGGATTCTGAGTCAAGAAAGGTGTAAGCTTGAGCCAGGGTGATCTATACTTTGAAAGTCAATCAAAACAATAACTCAGTTCAAACAACATCAGTGAGATCATATTTGGCTTCTGTATTTTCTCTTGTCTTTTCTCTTCCTTCCTTTCTTTTTATTATTTCCAGCAGCAATATGTCTGTCACATTAATCCAGATATTAATATTCTCTATATGTCCCAGTGGGGAACATTAAGAGTATTTTATTGTAAGTATACTGATGTTTGCATCAACTAATAAGTTATTAAAGTCAGGTATTTCCCCCTCCAATAATTCTTAAGCATGCTAGTTTTTCCCTAAGTGAGAAGCCCACTGTTTTTAGATTTCAAATTATCTGTGAGAGTCACTGAGGATAATCTCAACAGGTTGCAGCTCTCAATAGGACACACTTTGTTACTTGCTTCCCAGTGGTAACATGTCTCTGGGGTTGAGGGTTCTGAGCCAAAAGGAAGGACAGCTCATGGTAGTATTTCAGGATACAGCTCACAAAACAAGTTAGATTAGAATTCCAGATAAATGGCAAATAGCTGTCACAGGATATGTACATTATATCATTTTTAGGATATGATCACACAAGAAGTTATGCTAGATTATAAATAACCACAAAGTTCACAGGCATATCAAGAGAAAGTATACCATTTCTTAGGAGTCACCTTAATGTAGACCTGGAGGTTTTGAA